AAAAATAACCTGTGGCAGCCTTCAGTTGTCATAAATACTTAAAAGGTGTTTAGTTTGTCCAGTCTAGACTAATGCAAAAAACATGGCCTCCGTAGAGAGGGTCCCCTCGATGTAAATATAAAGTATTTGAATATAAAGGGCCTTTTCTGGGGTAAAGGAAACTACAATTCATACAATTTAGATGAAACGAACTAGTGAAAACATCATGAGGATTATTCTACTGTAAATATCTGCTAATAGTTCCCTTTCACAAGGTTCAATCCATTGCTGCTTTTACTCATATCACCAAGCTTACAGCATCTTTAAAGAGGTAGGCAGGGTAGATCAGTAAGTGTTGTAGAGCTGTAAAACTGCATGGCATTTTAATTGCACATGCATTTTTATCTCTGTTGTGTATTTACTTATCACCCCGGAATCTGTTTTGCACATGTTCAACTGACTGTGTTGCTAATAACTAGGAGAGAATAGAGGACAGCCATGATGTAGTGAGACTCATGCTGCTCTTTGAAAAGCAGGAGCCTAGTTCTGATGACTAAACTGCACATACTGAAATGTTCCTCTGGTATTCTGCATGTCAATTCTTGTCAGTCAAAAAGAGACATCCACTTTAACAGCCCATCTAAACATGTATGACAACCAGGGGCTGGAGGTTTGGATGCTTCGTCTTGTCCTTTAACAGAACACCTCGAGATAGAGGAGCGAATATACATCGTACAGAACTGGCAGCTACATGTCAACAACATTGTGATGCGTTTTTCTCACACCGTCGTAAGAGTACAGACCTGGAGTGTGAATAATACATGAACGATGAGACCCCATACCTGGCAGGTTTGTGGAAATGGCAGAGGAAATCATAGCGTTCATCTGGAATGGGCACTCTACTCTCATTTGGGTCAATGGTGCAGAAGGGGAAATTTTCAGCTGCAGCCTGACTCTTTGTCAGCACGTTGAAAAAGGTCGACTTCCTGAAAATAAAAACAGCAGCGAGGTCAGTCCATCTGAAAGAGCCAGTGTGCAGAGCCTTATGGTTTGATAGAACGATCCTGAAACACTCCAGTAAATTATGCAAGATTGGCTTTTTTTGATTTTCTCTGCAAGCAGGAAAAGATTATTCTAACAGATTGAATATTTGAGCACTTGAATCAAAACTCCTCTGTTAAATACTACACCAAATTACAAGGTCAAATAATCCCATAATAGATCAATTGTAGGTGGAATCGAAGGGGCAAATTACGTTTTAGATAGATCTCAGCTGTTGGACTGGATTGGTCGAACGTTGCCCCATGTTGTGATCACAGAGAGATTTATTTTCTGCCGCACAAGCAGCTCAAGTGTACTTCAACATCTACAGACAATGGTGAGTGTCTAAGAGTAATAATGGCATGGCAGTTAACTATAATCCAAGACTTTCCGTCTTATCCCCTCACTCTGGGCTTCACATTGAAATGATTGTTTGTTAAGTCCTATAGGCATGAAATTGCTTGAGATTGCTAAAGTGCATGCATTAATTCCTTACATAAAGTTAGACTGTTGCTCTACGTGAAGGATTTTCTCGGGTCACCTTGGGGAGAAAAATTTAAACCATCTACAGTAACACTGCAACCACTGAAAGGTGTTGAAAATGATGTAATATTATGAACAATTACACAGCAAATTACTTAGTTACACACTAAACTGTGAATTAGAGTGTAATATGCAGATCAGTGATTGGAGAAGTGCTGTTTACAGAGAGGTTTACAGCCACAGGGTGGTGATGGTGGTCTTATATGGAGGTAAGGTGAATTTCAAAACATGGATTGAGGTAAAAGACAAGTAAACACAATATTAATCCAGAGATATGGACTGGATTTATTATGACGGTTAAGAATGTGGCAGACAAAAATATTTATTATAACGTATCACATGACCATATTTCAGAACATCAGGAACATTCAGGCGAGGGGTGGTGTCTGGGTAGAGCATGCAGGAAGCAGGACATGATATATCAATTTTGCTGCGGAAATTACAGAGATGAAAAGTAAAGTCAGAAAGTATATTCAGAACATACAAAGACCATTTTATTTAATTTGATGTTCAGATTTAATCATTGAAAGATTTCATACCACAAATTATATGTGACTAAGGCAGAACTTTGACTCTGTTGTATGACTCAGTTCTACTTTAAAGCAGACTTGAGGCCTAAAGGGGTTTATAAGATGACATTTTTATTCATGGTTGGTCTTGACTTCATCGTCACAACCTGCTTTGTCTTTTAAATCTGATTTAATCCCACCCATCCAATGGTCTGTTTGACCCAACTGTCCTGAAATAAAGTGCAGTGCAAATCCCAAAACCCCATTAAATAACACATAGCTTAAACTTTCTAATGTTTAGAATTCCTGAGTCAAACTGAGTATTAAGTGGAAAACCAGGTTCTTTTAATCAATGATTTTTCACTGCACAACAATTCATTAACTTTGCAGTTGTTGTTGGTGGTGAATAAAAAACAGCTGTGGTACGCCAACAACAGAACTGTTTAAAACTGACCAAATATGCCTGTGTTTACCTATTATATTCGTTTTTCACAAGCTTTTTATGTTGGTTTCTTCATTTACATTTGAACACCAGTCAATGATAGGTTTCATGAGAAGTCTGTGTTGATGCATTTGGCAAAAGCCTGCAATCTTATGCATCTGGTATATAACTGGAGTCAAGCTTTGACCCGAGGCATTTAGGTCATATGTATGCTGTCTGAATGAGGAGTTAAATGGACATAACTAAACCTTTTTAGTGTCTACATCCAGGAGAACTGGCCGTAAACAGAAAAAGGTCTAGAAATGGTGTAGAAATAGCTGCAGGGCAGGCTGAATCACACTCTCGAGTTTCCCATGTTTGTGAAGAATGGTAGTCACGCCCAACTAACAGCAGGCTGGCATGTGATCGTGCATTCACAAAGAAACCGTAAGAGGGTTGACAAGTTGTACTTGTCACAAATGTGGTACGGCAGCACACAACCTCAATGAGTTCTACTTCTTATAGACCAGGAAGAAATTGTGTTTTTTTTGCCACAGTGGAAATCAAAACACTGGACACTGAAGGGATCTCTGTGCAATAAGATCCAAAGTCTGGTAGGACAGAAGAAGCACAAACAACTTCAGAAAACTCAATCTAAACCGACTGCTTATTCTCCATTTTCTATATAGGTTATCTAACTATATACTTACAGTGGTCATCTAAAAGATACTCTCAACCTTTCTGCAGTTTAACTGAGACATTATCACAGGATTCAATTTCACTGATTCAGTGACTGATAATGTTACGTCACCTTGGGTCTTACCTGTCCCTTCAAGTTGTGAAATCTTATTGGGCTGCTTAAACTTATATAAGGAGCTGGAAAAAAATGAGAACCTTATTGTCCGGACAGAGGAGGACCTCTCTCTAAAAGTTACATGAAAGCAGTCCTGCAGGATCAGCCCAGTGATCAGATCCTGTCAGAGATGATGCTGAAGGTCTTGGTGGATGCAGACAGTGTGAGACAGTGTGTCAGCATCACACACACACACACACACACACACACACACACACACACACACACACACACACACACACACAC